AATGTACCACAGGTGGACTCCAATCAAGTTGTAGAAACATCTCAAGGATGATCAATGGAAACAGGATGCATCTCATAGCAAAGGGTCTGAATAATTATGTAAATAAGGTATTTTTAAAATATTGTCTTTATACATTTGCAAAAAAAAGTAAAAAAAACTGTTTTCGCTTTGTCATTATGGGGTATTGTGTGTAGATTGCTGAGAAAATGTTTTATTTAATCAATTTTAGAATAAGGCTGTAACGTAACAAAAGGTGGAAAAAGTCAAGGGTTCTGAATACCTTCCGAAGGCACTGTATGTACATGTCAAAAGGCAACCTGGTTTAGAAATTAGCCTTTGGATAGAGCTAGGCTTTGGTAATTAAACCCTGGCAGTATGTTATTGCACAGAGAAGGGGATTGGGAGAAGTGTTTGTGGTGCATGGGCAGAATGTGACACCCTTCAGGATATCAGCCAGAGAAAGTACTGTATGTGGGGAAGTGTGCACTACAGACTCCATAGACCTCCTGTTCAATGCTGAGAAACAGTGAACCAGCAGCACAGCACACATTCAGCGCTGCTGTTAGGGTGTTAACAAAGTGTCCCCCTGCTGCCTAAGGGAAGTGTATTTGTAAGTAAATGCTTTCAGTGATTACACACAGGGATTCCTACAGGGATTCAGCCCCATCCATTCTTAGGTAATATAACTCCTTGGTAATAGAAAGAGCTATTGAAATAAAATGACATAACATCCCAATGCCATTGCAATTACCGTCCTCTATCCCCGTGTTAATGTGGGTTGAACTGATATCCAGGAAGTATTTTCTTCAGAATAGCTTAGTGCTGATCCATGTTGCTGCATTAATGGTGAAAAAATATAATTCTCCACTGCTGAGTAGGGGCAGCCTCCTTCATACTGAGGAGGTACTCATTATCATAACACAATGTATTGTTGCTGACTAATTTCCCTAACTCCGTATTTTCTAGGAATTGTTCCTGTCCCGCAAGTTCTAGCTCTGTCAGCTGATCAGCTGATCATGAATTAATAATGTCTGCTTGACATTTCAAACCAAGGTTTATTGGGTTAAAAATACAAAAACCAATACTCATCATCTCTCTTCTTTCAGACATGTACCTCTAAAAAACACTCCATGAATTACCTATAGGGCTACTTGTTATTTACACAAGTGTACTAGAATACTGTCAGGTACACTAGAAATGTGGTTACACATCAAATACAAATCATCTGGCATCATTATGACACAAATAATAATTTAATATCACCCTTTCAAGGTAATTCGAAATAACACAATCAAAACACACTCCAGGTGGGCCAGCAGAAATGTCATCAATTAATCCTAACACATCTACATTTTAGTAAGCTGTGTTCTTTTGACTAATCAATGCTACAAAGGACTTTAATTAGCCTGCTGCTCCGACAGCTCAGAGTATCTCTCTGCAAATCCTTAGACCTTCATTTGCATCTGCGTTTGACAGAGAGGCTACATCAAAATATTGTAGATACAATGAGCCCATTCCAACGTCTCAGAGCATTTCATTAATGCCCACGGAACAACAGGAAGTTTAATGCGCCTCTTAATTGAGCTATAAACCCTGAAGGTCATTCTCAATGAAAGTGTACCTCAGAATGGCAGACAGACAAGAAGAAGACAAGATACTGGTGTTCAGAAGTTTTCTCAACCTTACTGCAGCACTTAGTGGAAATCATATATAGCCTAATGCTTTGGAAGTATAAGGACGTCTGCTTAGGGTCATGAGACACTCAGCCATTAGACATGTTAGTAATGTAAACATGGGGAATGGAATGTCTAGCATGAGAGCATGTCAAACTCCCAGACAAAGTCTGATACGTATATTGTTCCTGTATTGATGCACATTGACTTTTATTTTGTCTTTTTTTTTTTTACATGCAGGTCCCTCATAACATCATACTGTAATGGGCAATATAATACTAATAAGGAAAAATCTAGTTATACAATGCAGTCAGTGGAATGCAGTAGTGTATAGGCTATATGGAGAAAGATACAAAGGGGGAGAGATGAAAATGGTAGAGGATATACTGTATACAGAGGAAAAACTGGTAACAGGACAAAGTGTGCAGTCATGTAAGATTATAGTAAGTCACATAATGAGACAACATGAAACCTTTAATAATGTGTTTTGAAAACCAACAAGATTAACCATAATAACATTATTCTCTCAATCAAGAGATTGGAAAATAATTAGAGTATTTCAAATTGTCACATAATCTGTGATTAATCTGTAATCTGTAATTAGAGTATTTCAAATTGTCACATAATCTGTGATTAAAGACCAACTTTGAGCAATCATCGCCAACCCAAGTGATTGCTTCTTGACGCAAACTCATTACCATGTTAATTCTCAGCTCACCCCAGGAACTTTGGAGACATGCAGAGTCATGTACACATCCACAAGAGGGAATGATTATCAACGGTTTCCACAATCAAACACAGCAATAAATACACTTTCCTTTTTTTCTCTGAAAGCTGGACAGAATCCACTTAGAACCTGGACATTTTACATTTACATTTTTAGTCATTTAGCAGACGCTCTTAACCAGAGCAACTTACAGTAGTGATTGCATAAATGTTCATACTTTTTTCAAACTTGTGCCCCGTGGGATGTATGGTGGACAAACAGAATATTACTTCAGCTGATTATTGCTGATATCATACTGGTTTATTAGCGATACCACATTATTCCCTGAATGATGCAAGTCTCTTGTGTAGTTTATAGATCTACTTCCCACTTACTTCCCACTCCAGAATGATGTAAATGTTAAAGACCAAATAACAAAAGGCTGTTGTAAATGTAATACTTAAGGTAATTCCAGAATGCTATTATTTTAAACGCCTCATAGGACAAGTCCTATTGTGTTTCATTAGCTGTCGCAACCTTATTAAGACTGATAAAGGCAGCTACAGTTGAAGTCGTAAATTTACATACACTTAGGTTGGAGTCATTAAAACTCGTTTTTCAACCACTCCACACATTTCTTGTTAACAAACTATAGTTTTGGCAAGTCGGTTAGGACATCTACTCTGTGCATGACACAAGTAACTTTTCCAACAATTGTTTACAGACAGATTATTTCACTTATAATTCACTATATCACAATTTCAGTGGGTCAGAAGTTTACATACACTAAATTGACGGTGCCTTTAAACAGCTTGGAAAATTCCAGAAGATGATGTCATGGCTTTAGAAGTTTCTGATAGGCTAATTGACATCATTTGAGTCAATTGGAGGTGTACCTGTGGTTGTATTTCAAGACCTACCTTCAAAATCAGTGCCTCTTTGCTTGATATCATGGGAAAATCAAAAGAAATCAGCCAAGATCTCTGAAAAATAATTATAGACCTCCACAAGTTTGGTTCATCCTTGGGAGCAATTTCCAAATGCCTGAAGGTACCACATTCATCTGTACAAACAATAGTATGCAAGTATAAACACCATGGGACCACGCAGCCATCATACCGCTCAGGAAGGAGACGCGTTCTGTCTCCTAGAGATGAACGTACTTTGGTGCGAAAAGTGCAAATCAATCCCAAAACAACAGCAAAGGACCTTGTGAAGATGCTGGAGGAAACAGGTACAAAAGTATCTATATCCACAGTAAAATGAGTCCTATATCGACATAACCTGAAAGGCCGCTCAGCAAGGAAGAAGACACTGCTCCAAAACCACCATAAAAAAGCCAGACTACGGTTTGCAACTGCACATGGGGACAAAGATCGTACTTTTTGGAGAAATGTCCTCTGGTCTGATGAAACAAAAATAGAACTGTTTGGCATTAATGACCATCGTTATGTTTGGAGGAAAAAGGTGGGGCTTGCAAGACAAAGAACACAATCCCAACCGTGAAGCACGGGGTGGCAACATCATGCTGTGGTGGTGCTTTGCTGCAGGAGGGACTGGTGCACTTCACAAAATAGATGGCATCATGAGGAAGGAAAATTATGTGGATATATTGAAGCAACATCTCAAGACATCAGTCAGGACGTTAAAGTTTGGTCGCAAACGGGTCTTCCAAATGGTCAATGACCCCAAGCATACTTCCAAAGTTGTGGCAAAATGGCTTAAGGACAACAAAGTCAAGGTATTGGAGTGGCCATCACAAAGCCCTGACCTCAATCCTATAGAAAATGTGTGGGCAGAACTGAAAAAGCGTGTGCGAGCAAGGAGGCCTACAAACCTGACTCAGTTACACAAGCTCTGTCAGGAGGAATGGGCCAAAATCCACCCAACTTATTGTGGGAAGCTTGTGGAAGGCTACCCGAAACGTTTGACCCAAGTTAAACAATTTAAAGGCAATGCTACAAAATACTAATTGAGTGTATGTAAACTTCTGACCCACTGGGAATGTGATGAAAGAAATAAAAGCTGAAATAAATCATTCTCTCTACTATTATTCTGACATTTCACATTCTTAAAATAAAGTATTGATCCTAACTGACCTAAAACAGGGAATTTTTACTGGATTAAATGTCAGGAATTGTGAAAAACTGAGTTTAAATGTATTTGGCTAAGGTGTATGTAAACTTCCGACTTCAACTGTAGAGAATGGCACTCAACTTGTCCTGCACTCACTCAGATGACAGATGATTGGTTAAAATAAATGGATAATAAGATGATAGTTGGAGCTGTATTGTTAGATTTCAGTGCAGCCTTTGTTGTTATTGATTATAAATTATTGAAGAAGCTCACTTGCTATGGCTTTCGATCACCTGCCATCACATGGTTGGTGATGTAAGTAATAACACGCAGTCAAACATACACAGATAAAAAAAGAAACACAAGACGTCATATTCAGTGTTCTGTCTTTTTAATTGCAGATATCAATTCATGTAATTACATTAATACATATTCTCGAAAGCAAAAGATCATATTAAACAACTCAAGATGTGGCAGGACAAGATGCAGCAGGGTAATCTGGCTGGCAGATGGATGATGAGACGAGACGATCTCATTGGTCACCTCTACACCTCCCAGCAGGGCCGGTACACCCTTCCCACCATACACCTCATGGTGTCCCTCCTGACGATGGAGATGCTGGGGCTCAGGTCCTGGCCAGCCTCTCTATGGTCCAGGGTCAGGACTCTGTCAGGCCCGGCAGCTGCAGCTCTCAGCTTGTAGAAAGGAAGTCCTCTGTTCAGGTTCTTCCACAGGCCTGAGTCTGCCAGCAAGACAATCTTGGAGCTCCTGCCTCTGACTGAATCAGGGCTGTTTTCAGCCACCTCTTCACTCAGCAGGGAGTCTAGGGTATCTTGCTCCAAGGCGACGTCCTCCGTCTTGCCCATGGGGATCGCCGTGGATGGTGTGTAGCACTCCAAGAAAAGTGCCACGGCAAAGGTGATGGAGAGAACAGAGTGTCTCATCTTGGAGAATGAGGATCTTCGTTGAGGTTGATGTTGCAAGTTGTTGTGATTAGCTTTTTCGAGCTCGTTCTCTTCTGACCGAGATGTTTGTCTTCCTCTTTTATACCGTTTGGACCTCTATGATTTGCCATCATTGCTTTTCTTTTCGTTGTGTTTCAGGATATTAAACAACAGTATGATGACGTGGTCGATGAGACCCCTAACAGTGTTGGAGTGTTGTGTCTTGTGGAGAGTTAATTAAGCTTATCTGCAACGTGGCTGGTCTTTCTAAAGTCTGTGAGGATGAAACAGTGGGATTTCATTGAATGAGCGACACAAGGGAAGACGCCATTCCAAGAACCTGCCCTTTAAAACAACTAAAGTGGATTACCCACCCATTGACTACCTTGTGGTTAAGGACTCTCAATGATACATACTCCCCTCTCATGGCCACCTTATAACAATGTAAAATAAGGGATTTTAGGTGGGATTACAGATGAAAAGCAAACTAATGATAATTGAAGAGCTTGGTGTGCATGTGGCACCAGGAACACCAGCAGGGTCCTTTGAATACGTGTTGAGAGGAAATTCACAACGTCACTGATGTAAGGCTTTGGTGAAGATAGGAAATGTCTCTTAATTAAAGAGCATATCCTCTACATCTGCTGCCTGTGCTCTCTGTAAAGTCTTATTTGTTCACTTACTGGTACCTGCATATTTACAACCTTACCTAATTAGGAATACCAGACAGGGATTTAAAGGTTTGAACACCTGCTCACATACTGTAGTCCTCTTGAAACAGATAAAATGCTGGTGGGTTCAAAGTCAGCTTGGCTAGAAATATGCACAAAAAAGGAGATGCTGGCTGGTGGACCATCAATGGTTTTGCTTGGTGATTTATAGCGATGACCTCAGATAAGATAATGTTCCGGTCAGATAATGTTCCTGCATAATAACTTTTCAAATACGCACAACTCTCGTCCAAAGATCTGTATCTTTTTGGGGAGCTGTTATTATTGTTCAATAAATAGGCCTACTACAGTACATCTTAGACATTCTGTCTGTTTATTCACACTAGCATGTCTTGCTTCAAATCTCGGCTTTGTTTGACAACGGTTATTTTTTGTCCAATGGTCGAACCCAGCTGTAACACACTTGAAAGTGGAAGATGTTTTTGTGTCTTAGAGTAGTTTTTCAATACATTTTAAAGAAAGATAGATGTGATTTGTTCTTGATATTCAGACATCGTTAGCACCCATATACTGTGTGAAATGACACTCTAAGAAGTTCTCCCACAGTTCCCCAATTAAGAGGAATAAACTTGAAGTAGCGGGTTTCTGTGTGTGCGTCTAAAGAGAAATGCTTTAATGGCCTCCTTTAATGTTATTTTCTCTTCTCCTTCTCAGAGAGAAAATGGTTTTGTTGAAGGGGATCTAGAAGTTTGCATTATTGTTTTCAGCAATTGAAGACTCCAGTGTCCTCTTTCTGCAGGTGAATGTTAAATGTCAAAAAAGTATTGGATGCAAACAAGCCGACTGGCTCGAACAGAGGATTTGGTCTCGAGTGAAAAAATATTAAACTATATTGCAACTCAAAAAATCAAACAGGATGCCATTTAAATCAAGCAACTAGCCAGAGACTAAATCTAAATTTCATAAGGACTTATAGCAGTTTTAGTTTTTAGATATACAAGAAAAAAGCATATCAGGATGCAGTACTACGTTTTCTAATGCAATTAATGTCCTCTTACTCCATTTATTCCAAAAATGTTCATCACCCCCCCCCAAAAAATAATATTTAAGCACTTGATATTTCTTCAAAATCAAAACAACCTTAAAATGTATATCGAACTTACAATGAACAAAAACATAAACGCAACATGTAAAGCTTTGGTCCCGTGTTTCATGACCTGAAATAAAAGATCTCAGAAATGTTCCATACACACAAAAAGCTTATTTCTCTCAAATGTTGTGAACAAATTTGTTTACCGTACATACCTATTAGTTAGCATTTCTCCTTTGCCAAGATAATCCATCCACCTGACAGGTGTGACATATCAAGGAGCTGATTAAACAGCATGATCATTACTCAGGTGCACCTTGTGCTGGGGACAATAAAAGGCCACTCTAAAATGTGCAGTTTTGTCACACAACACAATGCCACAGATGTCTCATGTTTTGAGGGAGCGTGCAGTTGGCATGCTGACTGTGGGAATGTACACCAGACCTGTTGCCAGAGAATTGAATGTTCATTTCTCTACCATAAGCCACCTCCAATGTCTTTTTAGAGAATTTGGCAGTACGTCCAACCGGCCTCACAACCGCAGACCAAGTGTATGGTGTTGTATGGGCGAGCGGTTTGCTGATGTCACGTTGTGAACAGAGTGCCCCATGGTGGCAGTGGGGTTATGGTATGGGAAGGCATACCATAATGAACACAATTGCATTTTATCGATGGCAATTTGAATGCACAGAGATACTGTGACGAGATCCTGAGGCACATTGTCGTGCCATTCATCCGCTGCTATCACCTCATGTTTCAGCATGATAATGCACAGCCCCATGTCGCAAGGATCGGTACACAATTCCTGGAAGCTGAACATGTCCCAGTTCTTCCATGGCCAGCATACTCACCAGACATGTCACCCATTGAGCATGTTTGGGATGCTCTGGATCGACGTGTACGACAGTGTGTTCCAGTTTCCGCCATTATCCAGCAACTTCGCACAGCCATTGAAGAGGAGTTGGACAACATTCCACAGGCCACAATCAACAGCCTGATCCACTATATGCTAAGGAGATGTCGCACTGCATGATGGTGGTCACACCAGATACTGACTGGTTTTTTAAACCTTGCCCCTAGCTTTAAATGAAATAGGTATCTGTGACCAACAGATGCATATCTGCATTCCCAGTCATGTGAAATCCATAGATTAGGGCCTAATGAATTTATTTCAATTGACTGATTTCCTTATATCAACTGTAACTCAGTAAAATCGTTGAAATTGTTGCATGTTGCGTTTATATTTTTGTTCAGTACACAGTTGAAGTCGGAGGTTTACATACACCTTAGCCAAATACATTTAAACTCAGTTTTTCACAATTCCTGACATTTAATCCTAGTAAAAAATTCCCTGTCTTAGGTCAGATAGGATCAATACTTTATTTTAAGAATGTGAAATGTCAGAATAATAGTAGAGAGAATTATTTCTTTCAGCTTTTATTTCTTTCATCACATTCCCAGTGGGTCAGAAGTTTACATACACTCAATTAGTATTTGGTAGCATTACCTTTTAATTGTTTAACTTGGGTCAAACATTTTGGGTAGCCTTCCACAAGCTTCCCACAATAAGTTGGGTGAATTTTGGCCCTCCTGACAGAGCTGGTTTCCCTGAGTCAGGTTTGTAGGCCTCCTTGCTTGCACACGCGTTTTCAGTTCTGCCCACACATTTTCTATAGGATTGAGGTCAGGGCTTTGTGATGGCCACTCCAATACCTTGACTTTGTTGTCCTTAAGCCATTTTGCCACAACTTTGGAAGTATGCTTGGGGTCATTGTCCATTTGGAAGACCCGTTTGCGACCAAACTTTAACTTCCTGACTGATGTCTTGAGATGTTGCTTCAATATATCCACATAATTTTCCTTCCTCATGATGCCATCTATTTTGTGAAGTGCACCAGTCCCTCCTGCAGCAAAGCACCCCCACAGCATGATGCTGCCACCCCCATGCTTCACGGTTGGGATGGTGTTCTTCGGCTTGCAAGCCAACCCCTTTTTCCTCCAAACATAACAATGGTCATTATGGCCAAACAGTTCTTTTTTTTGTTTAATCAGACCAGAGGACACTTCTCCAAAAAGTACGATCTTTGTCCCCATGTGCAGTTGCAAACCGTAGTCTGGCTTTTTTATGGCGGTTTTGGAGCAGTGGCTTCTTCCTTGCTGACTCGTTTTACTGTGGATATAGATACTTTTGTACCTGTTTCCTCCAGCATTTTCACAAGGTCCTTTGCTGTTGTTCTGGGATTGATTTGCACTTTTTGCACCAAAGTACGTTCATCTCTAGGAGACAGAACGCATCTCCTTCCTGAGCGGTATGACGGCTGCGTGGTCCCATGGTGTTTATACTTGCATACTATTGTTTGCACAGATGAATGTGGTACCTTCGGGCGTTTGGAAATTGCTCCCAAGGATGAACCAGACTTGTGGAGGTCTACAATTATTTTTCTGAGGTCTTGGCTGATTTCTTTTGATTTCCCCATGATGTCAAGCAAAGAGGCACTGAGTTTGAAGGTAGGCCTTGAAATACATCCACAGGGACACCTCCAATTGACTCAAATTATGTCAATTAGCCTATCAGAAGCTTCTAAAGCCATGACATCATTTTCTGGAATTTTCCAAGCTGTTTAAAGGCACAGTCAATAATAATAATAATAATAATAATAATAATAATAATAATAATAATATGCCATTTAGCGGATGCTTTTATCCAAAGCCACTTACAGTCATAACTTAGTGTATGTAAACTTCCGACTTCAACTGTAACTGAAACCGCATTGAACTTTTATAACCTACAATTGAACTGATGATAAAACAGAACCTCCAAATCGTATTGTTGATCCATTCATTCATGACTTTCCTTATCAACCACATGTGGAGAAGACAAACAGTCCGAACCCCATCTAGTTATTCATTCGCAGTATGGAACTGTATTGACCTCTGTATGTGTCCAGTAGTGTTGTGGATACTGTAGTTATGACAGAGAGTGGGGTGTTTATCTGTTGGTGGCCAGTGTGTTTCAGGCCTCTCCCTCGTCAGGTGTTTGCTTGGTGATGTGTGTGGTTATTGGAGTACAGCTGTACGCCACATGTCCATGACAGACCTGACTCTATAACATAACTGGAATGCTTGTTTTATGTACTAAGGACACCATTCTATTTAATTATTTCATAAATACCTGATAAAATAGGCAGTCAAGGCAACATGAAAGACTGCAGACTTTTTATACTCCTCAATATGTATTT